ATGGAAGTTGAAATCCACTTAGCACCCTACATCATCGGGCCCAAAGTCATTAAAAGGTTTCTATCAGGTTAAAGGCATGTTACCTTTCTATAGACACAAATAGTAACAGCCATAAAGTATGTCCACGTGAGATGTAACTTTCAAACCAATGAATAAATGCTTAATTAGCTTTGATTATACTAATACATACCATAAAAAAGTGGGTCTTTTGGAGGTTTTCTTTTGACCAGAGTACGGGCTACTAGAGCAACGAAAATCAGAATCAGGGATCCAACTGCTACAATTGCCCAGGAACTGAAATTATTTTAAAAAATAGGGAATTAAAAACAAGCGCCCACTTGCCCCACTTCAACTCTGCAGTTTTTCTTATCAGCTAATCTCAAAAGGATCACTTTTCAAAAGCAAAAGTGTACCCCCTTAATCTTAAATTAAATGCAATTACTAATGACAAATTTTGCTTTTTAAAATCCTTGCAGAGTTTACAATATTATACATTTTTACTGTTTCTCAGCACTTCCATGCCTTCTTCTTACGTGATCATCTATAAAAAGAAAATACTAAAATAGCTTTATAAACAACTAGTCCAGAAAGCTAGCTTGTCAGACTAAATTCAGTTTCCATGCTGACATTAGCAAAAACTAAGACAAATAGGCTGTGAAAGTCATATATGCACAGATTTTTAGGTCAGAAAGGACCATTATGAACATGCCACAGAAAAGTACCTATCTGTGAAAGGACATGTTTGCAAAGTAAAATTACAAAAAAACAAATTGATCAGCTGGCCCGGAACTAGGGGTAGCATAGTGCAGTGCCCCATGATAGCTCTGGGTTCAATTTCTGGCCTCCCTCTCCCAGGCCCTAGATTGCCAGGGACAGGAAATGCTATAGAAGTGTTCTCAGGCTCTGGAGAGAAGTGCTATGTGTGACTCATTGTGAATGCTTTGCAAATAGAGTTGATGGATTCTGCAGGGAGGACCTCCTTTTCCATAAGGATGGGGGCCATAATACAAGGCCTGGAGGATGCATATTAGAGGGTGTGTAAAGTGCTGGTGGGAAAATGATGGAAATACTCAAGGCCCAGAGAGAAAAGAGTTAGCCTCCCCAAGAAAAAAAAATTTCAATAGAATTCCTTTAAAATCTATTTACAGCTCTAGATTGGCAAATTGTGCTAAATTCACTTTAGGACAGATTCTTGAGATCAATTCATCCCCTTTGCACTTATATACAAAATAATATGGGGAGAATTCGGTAAACCATAAGCAGGGCCGGCTCCAGGTGACTGAGGCAGCCAATAGAAAGGGGCGGCACTCCGTCCGTTATTGGGGCGGCACGTCCAGGTCTGCGGTGGCAATTCGGCGGCGGGTCCTTCAGTCCCTCTGTTCCTCTTCGGCGGCATCTCAATCAGTTTTTTCTTCTTTCTCTTTTTTTTTTCCGCCTCTTAGGGCGGCAAAAAAGCTAGAGCCGGCCTGACCATAAGGTTTTTCAAAAAATGTATTTTGAATATTGGAGACATCAGAATATGGTTTCAGAAGATACACTAATTACAAGTCTGATTTTTCTCCTCAAGAAAATAAATTAGATAGTTATATTTAAACAATATGAAAACTGACAAGAAATTAAAAATTGTTTTACATTTCAGATTTGATCCGTCACTCTTAATTCTGCTATTCAGCCTTAGTGGATCTTGCATTAGATCTATTTACTGAGTAAAGATTGAAGGATTGAGTACTTCAGTTGTATAAAATGCAGACTTTCTGCACAATGGTGTGTACCTACTAGAAAGAAATACTGGCAATGAATCAAACATGCACTAACTTTTTAGAAATCTGCTCACTGAATATTACAAAAACCTCTGAAGTACCTGGACCCTTCCAACCCAAACCAGCCACACAGTCTATTACGTGCACTGACTTTTTGAAAAACTTTTAGGCAGTGGAGCATACAGACATGTCTGATGCTAACTGGATCCCTACGCTCCTTTAGTCCTGAAGTTTCTTAGGAGAGAGGCGACTCTTAAGATCCTTTTCTACATTTTAAATCAAAAGTTTATCTGAAGTTTTTGTAGAACTTTGTAGAACACTGGAAAGGCTTCAGGGACCTCTTATTGGGCACAGTTGAGGAAACTCTCCCTTGGATGATGAGATACAGAAAAATTGAAACTACTCCAGTGCAGTAAGACTTAGGACCTGATTCTTCACCCACTGATGTCAATAGCAAAACCCTTAACTGACTTCTATGGGGGCATGATGGTGACCATAGGCTCTGATGGCTCTGGAACTGACTATGAATGGTGTGGTGACTTCCACAGTTTTGAAAGGGAAAAACCCTGAAGGATTTTTGTGGCTGGGCACAAAAACCCATTAAGAACTTATCCAGGCTGGCTTTGGATCTGCAGTTTCCAAAGAGAATTCCACCCAAGATCTCGCCTCCACCCCTTCCCACAGCCACAGTGCTGATACCTGAGAACTTGATATAGGATTTCTATGTCATCCCATGCCTCTTGTTTAATCTCACTGCTTTACCTGATGACAGGTTTCAGAGTGGTAGCCATGTTAGTCTGTATCAGCAAAAACAACGAGAAGTCCTTGTGGTGCTTTAGAGACTAACAAATGTATTTGAGCATAAGCTTTCAT